GGGGTTTAGGGCTTAGAGCTTCAGGGACAGGGGGGCCTGAAGATCTTGAAAGAGGGCTTGGCTGTCATGCTACAGCAAGCTTTGACAGAGCTTTCGGGGCAAAGTCGCCCTGGATCAATGCGGCAGCCCGGGCAAGGGAAATTCTCATGTACAATCTAGAGATCTGCGATTGTTCCAAACTGATATAAATGACAGGTCTTGGACTGCGACAGAGGTCCGAAAAGAAGTCTAGACTGTTAGGCGAAGCAGTCCGGCCTTTACAGTAACTGTTGCTGAATAGAGAAAAATGACCACAGAAGCCCTCGTGTAGCTCGTTCGTGCTTATACAGGTAGGCCCAGACACAACAACTCATCCAACCCTGGACCCAAAACCCCAATCTAAGCTCACAGCCTTATACCCACGGCCGTGAAACCTCCAAGCCAAATGCCCTCAAAGGTCTATTCGGGGTCCTAATAACACTCTCATGGAGCCCCTGTCGGAAAAAAGGCAAAGGAAAAAAACCTATAGAACCCAAATAGAGGGCCCCTAGAGAAAACGCCTCGAAAACAACATTGAGCTCCCTTACGAGAACGAAAAACCTTAAAACACACCCCTGGTATGCCTGATAACACCAAACTGAAGGAAAAACGCAAACCCTAAACGCCTAAGCCCCTAAACCCTAAACCGTGGTCTGTTTTGTTGCGCCTGCGTCCGGCTCCGAGCTTTTCTCGAAGACGTCCGGGCTCCGTGTCTCGGGCGTTGTGGGGCTTTGGGATCAAGTCTTGGGTTTAGGGGTTTAGGGTTCTCAAACAAGGCTTTAGAGGGAGGCTTGCAGGTTTTATGGGATGTTGATAGGCTTTTTTGAGGACTCTGTGGCGTTTTGGCTATGGGATTTGGCGGTTGCTGTTTTGGGGTTGTGGGTTCAGAGATCCGCATATGAACAAGGCAATCGGAGCGGAGACACCATATCCGGAATTGAGATCGGCAAGCCAGTGTGGAGTGGAGGGGCCAGCCCATGGCGGAAAGAGTTTAATGCTGAGCTTGGGGCCTGTAAGGGACAGTATGGGGGAATTTTTCTACGACCCCCTATATTAAATGCTGCAACGTCGAACCCAACTATTCCTAAACCCCAATACCCTTACAGCAACCCCTTATGGTGCCCTTATAGAAACCCCATCTAACGGAAACCTTAACACTGAACCTTCGCAACCCCAAAACCCAAAACCTCAACCTTAGCCCTCAGAACCAGAAACCCTCAACCTTAAGACCCTTGCAAACCCTCAAACCCTCAAACCCTANNCTACACCCCTAAACCCTTAAACCCCTGCAGACCCCTATAAACCCGAAAACCCCTAAACCCCTAAACCCCGTAAACCCCGTAAACCCCTACAAACCCTGACACCCCTAAACCCCTCAAACCCCCCTAAAGCCCTAAAACCCCTAAACTGTTAACCTTTAAACCCCTAAACCCCAATACCCTAAAAATCCGTAAACCCTTAAACTAAACCCCTTAAACACCCCTAAACCCCTAAACCCCTCAAACCCCCCTCAAAACCCCTTAAAACCCAACCCCTTAAACCCCTCAAAACCCCTTAAACCCCTTTAAACCCCTTTAAACCCCTCAAAACCCCCTTTAAACCCCTTAAAACCCCGCCATACACCCTTAAAACCCTTAAAAGCCCAAAACCTTCAGCCTCTTCACACCCTTAAACCCCTTAAAAACCCCTTAAAACCCTTAAAAGCCAAAACCTTCAGCCTCAGACCCTCAAACCCCGGGCCTGGACTTCGGCATCGCGATGCGACCTTGGTGAAGGGCTGCTTTAGGGTTTAGGGCATTTAGGGTGCAGGGTTGAGGGTTTAAGCTTTAGGGTTTCGGGTTTCAGGGTTTCGGGTTTAGAGTTTAGGGTTTCGGGTTAGGGTTTAGGGTTTAAGGCTTCGGGTTTAGGGGTTTTGGGTTTAGGGTTTCGGGTTAGGGGCTTAGGGTTTAGGGCTTCGGGTTTAGAGTTTAGGGTTTAGGGGTTTAGGGGTTTAGGGGTTCGGGTTTAGGGGTATAGGGGTTAAGGTTTAGGGTTTAGGGTTGCAAAAGGATTCTCCAAAAGGGCTCTGGGGTTTAGGGCTCCTTGTCAGAGGTACGGTAAGGGTTGCAACAAGATTCGACATGGGCTCTAATAACCCAGAGAACCCAACACTCCTGAATTAAGGAATATAGCTTAAATCATAATATTCAAGCCCCCATGATTTGAGGCATATTCCTTAATTAAGGGGTATTGGGCTCGCTGGGAAGGGATATGGCCAACGTTTTCCATCAGCTTCAAAAAGATCTCTTGAAGGGCTCGGGAACGGGCTTCTAGCATTTTTGACCGCTTAGGATCGTTCGTAAGGTTCAGGCACCGCAGGAAAGAAGACGAGCCGGAAAAGAACAGGGTTTAGAGTTTTAGGGCTTTAGGGTTTAAGGTTTAGGGTTTAGGGGTTTAGGGTTTAGGGTTTTTGGTTTAGGGTTCAAGGTTTAACAGAAACCTGAGCCACTGTGGCCTCCAATCGTTCCAGCCCAAGGACACTCCAGTCGCCGGGGCAGTGAGTGGCGCTGGCTGCGCCTGCTGGCAGAAGACATGGGTAGTTTTCCAAAGTAGGGTCCCTTTTGGGTCCTTTGTATAAGAGCGCCGTACTGTATTGGGGACCTAAAAGGGGACCCTAATTTAGAGAACTACCCAGTGCACATGTCACCAAGACACCGGAAGAGTCTCTACTTGGAGGATTCATGGGACTTAGCAAGTATAGTTATAAGCAGCTCCAACTAAATATATCTATACCTTAAGCTACCATAACCGACTTTTTTGTAGGTTCCGATTATAAGCCCTAATATGGAATTTGTAGGGACCCTATAAAAAAGTAGGTTTTGGTAGATGAAGGTGGTTACCCCCAATAAGAACCTCAGCACAGAGTCGAGGAGGCACCTTGAAAGGATGGGCTGTAGCTGTAGGATGCTGTAGGCAACACCCCCACCTGGCGGTTCCTGGGACCTCTTGAATAAGGGTTTAGGGTTTAGGGTTCAGGGCTTAGGGTTAGAAGTATCCAAATTGGAGCTATAAGTACTTACAGCCAGAGTTACCTTATTCATAACCCTAGATACTATCCTAAACCCTAAACCCCTAAAGGAAACCCCATTAAAGAGCCTTACTTCTAGTACCCTTAAAAGGGACCCCTGAAACCCGAGTTACTGAGTCCCATGATCCTCACAGCATCCTTCACCCAGAGAGCCCAATTTACGCCTTAATATAAGGAATATGCTTTAAATTATGGGGGCCTTAATATGATGATTTAAGGTATATATTCCTTAATTAAAAGGGGTCTTGGGTTCTCTGGGCCAGATACTATCCTAAACCCTAAACCCTAAACCCCTAAAGGGAACCCTACTTAAGGAGCCTTACATAGCACCCTTAAAGGGGACCCCTGAAACCCGAGTTACCCCCAAAGGAACCCTACTTAAAGAGCCTTATATGGTGCCCTTAAAAAGGGGACCCGGAGCCTCCGGAGCCTGCTGCTCCTGTGCCGAAGGCACCGGCCGTAGAGGCGGGCCTGTCCAGAAACTCGATTTCCGGAAACACAAATGGTTTCCAGAAACACAACTCCGGAAAGTCAATTTTCCGAAACACAAGACCCCTCTCAGAGCGAAAAAGTTGCAGCTCTGGGTTCCCTGAGTCGGTTTCGGAACTTAGGGGTTTTTGGGATTAGGGTTTTAGGGTTTGGGGTTTAGGAACTTAGGGTTTTAGGGTTTGGGGTTTGGGGTTTAGGGTTTAGGGTTTAGGGCGCACGGGTTGGGGTTTAGGGTTTAGGGTTTAGGGATCGCTCTTATTGACTGATGTGAAGAATCGGCCTTCGGAAGACTCGGACGGCGCACTGCGTGGCGAGGGCAGTTCCTGAAGAGATCGGAACTCTGTTCTAGGCTGTCTTGGGGTGTAGGGTTTAGGGTTTAGGGTTTAAGGGTTTGGGGTTGTGGGGTTCGTGGTTTAGTGTTTAGGGTTTGGGCCTATGGTTTGTACTCTCAGAAAAACTATGATGAGGAACCAAAAGGAATAGCAGAACTCACTACTCAGGCTTCTATAGAGCGGTTTGACAAGATCGGGGTACCTGATCTAGGAGCCCTTATAAAACAAAAAAGCTCGTATTACGCGCGGCTCCATATGAGGGTTTCCGAAAATAGGGGACCCTAATATAGCACCCTAAATAGTAGGATCCTTATTCTAAGGACCCCCAAAATAAGGCACCCCCTTATTTTCGGAAAGTCCCATATTAATATCAGTGTCCCCCATATTCCCCTTCAGACCCTAGCTCCCGCGTTTAGGGGTTTAGGGATTAGGGTAAACTGTTAAGCCTATGTTACATGGCCGTAGCAACCTCCGAGAGGCCTCGTGTCTCTCCGTGACGTCGTGGCGCGGTGCCTGCCGGCTGGGGCTATGAGGGCTAAGAAGCCGGGGCGCGCGCGTTTTTGGGGATTTTTGAAAGAAGAACAAGTGCTCCTCATGGCAACGTGACAGTAACCCTTCTGGCAACCCTTGACGTCATCAGTCTTCGGTTTTTTGTTGGTGGTTCATTTCCAGCTGTCTGCAGGGAGTTGGAAGGGAGGGGGCATTGGGAGAATAAAGAGCTCTCTATCACGGCTACGTTATCGCAGTTCCTCCGTCTTGATACTGCAAGAACCCTGCGGCATGGGCAAATGCCACCTTTTCTTCACGGAGCGGCCTTTCGAACAAGGACCGAAAAACAGTGCACAATGTAGTTCAAGTCAGACCGCGGCATTCCCAACTTCTACTTCAAGCTTCCGTTGAGGCAAGGAAAGGCGCGTACACATCGATGACACTTGCCAAGTGGATGGCAAGCTTGTCGCACAACTTCTGATCATTGCCTGCTTCTTCGGCTGCCAGCCAGACATGTCCTAGCCAACTGTCTCGCTGATCTTCTGTGAAACCGCGACCACGAGTTTCTGCGGAGCGCAAGGGGCAGCGCTTCGCACGCTGGTGCGCCCCCTCGAGGTTGGAGAAGAGGTCTCCTCCTCGCAGCCTGGCGTAGTCCTTGAGGCCCACCCAACGTCCCAGCAAGGCAAGAGCCAACCGCTCTCCATGGGCTGCAGCGCTCACATTGGAGTCTTGGTGAGATACGTCAAACAACACAGACATGCGAGGATCCTGAAAGAGCCGGCGGTAATGGAAGCCGAAGAGTCTGACGAGACCATCCTTGCCGCCCATGGAGCGAATCTCGACGGCTGTGGGCATCGGCCTGAAGCCTCCGACTCCAGCTCTGTAGATGGCCCGACCTTTCCTTAACCTCATCCCCAGTTAGGGCCATATTTTACAAATGATCATTTTTTAGTCCTTGTTAGGGTTTTAGTATAAAAAAATGTAAAATTGCATCCAACAAGGACCCAGTAACGCTGGAGATTCTGGAAATGGACCGGCAGCCCGCAGACCTGGTGGAAAAAAGCTCTCCGGCAAAGCCTCGGGCAAAGCCTCGGGCAAAGCCTCGGAAGTAGCTTCGATGCTCCTGCCAGGCTCCCTGGTTCTTAGTAGGGAATGGGGGAATGGATGTCCCTAAAGGTCCCCTATAGTAGCCCCCGATAACCCATTCCCCCATTCCCTACCAAGAACCTGTCAGCCTGAACCCTAAACTCCTAAACCCTAAACCCTAAACCCTGAACCCTATAAGCCCTAAACCCTAAAGCCCTAAAACCCTAAACCCTAAACCCTACTAAGAACCAGTCCGTCCTGTCAGGGGGCGAGCTGGGCTCCGGCTCCTTCGCTTCAAGCGACATGCAGAAGCCCATGGCAATCCCTGCACTCTGAAGGAGACGTATTTTGTTTGAGAGGAGGAGACGTGTTTGTGTGCAACGATGCCCTAACGCCAGAATTTAGGGCTACAAGTGAAGGCATCTGAAGGATTTTCCGGGTCGGTGTCTGGACTCTGCAGAAGGATACTCGATCCGCGTCTGGCCCCTTCGAGCCCAACAAGCGAGATGTCCTTGCGAGCCCGGGCAGATTCTTCCGCCCTTCCTTATCCGCTCCCCTGCCTGAGTCTCTGCTGCTCCCATCCAAAGTGTGTTTAGGGTTTAGGGTTTGGTGGATCCTAGACCCTGAATGTTACAGTACTGTTTAAGGACAGGGTGAACTCGATCTGACAAGATCAGACTCCCAAAGCTACGACTTCGACGATGACACGAAGACTGCTGCAACGAAGCGGCACAAGCTGCGATTGATAGCTTCCCTCACAGAGTTGAGGGCTTCCTAAACCCTAAACCCTAAACCCTAAACATCGGGCTCTGGGTCTGGGGTGCTTCTGGGCTGCCCAGTGGAACCGCATGACAAATTCCAGGGACCACGCCGATCCCAGAAAACCAGGAAGCCCAAAGGCGCGTTATGAGAAAATTTGGATCCCCCCCCCCCCAATTGCAGTAAGGATCCTACTAAAGCTCAGGGTTTAGGGTTCAGGGTTGAAGTTCAGGGTGCATTCCGTCAACGAAAACCTTCTTGGTGATGTTCTCCGGCGAGTACTTAAAAACTGAGAGCATGGAATACGGCTGATTGTAAAAATCCTGCATTAACCTAAGGACGATAAACGATGGGAATTATGGTACATTCCTTATTATGGATAATGCAGGATTTACATCGTCAACCGTATCACAAGGGAATCCGAAAGACTTGTAACCATTCAGGCTTCTACGGCTGATGATGATGTAAATCCTGCATTACCCAAAATAGCTAGGCGTAAACCATATTTCCCGTAGCTTAGGGTCCTGAAGGTAATACAGGATTTATCTCATCAACAGTATCTTAACCTTCCAAATCACAGGTTTTCCGGCTTCTTGTGAAGGAGCTTTATCTAACTTACCATCATAAGGAAACCCTATCATTTACTCTAGGTCATTATTCTGTTAACTTAAACTAACATCCATAACCCTTGAACCCTTGGAAAAGAAAAGACTAGAATATGGTAACTTAGATTGAAAACCCTTGACATATCTAACTTGCCATCATAAGGATACCCTGCCATTTACTATAGTAATAGGTCATTACTCAAGACCCTAAACCCTAAACCCTAAAAACTAAACCCTAAAGCCTAAAGGCCCCAAACCAAGAGCCCAGGGTATCCGGAATTCCGCCTCTAAAGTGACGATCGAGGCCGCTCTTAGAGCGGCCTCGCAGGGGACTTCGCCTTCTCCCCATGAGGCCTGGAAGCCTCGGCTCGGCTGGGAGACTGCGGCTGGGATCTTAGCTCTTAGGGTTTAGGGTTGAGGGTGGTTTTAGGGTGGTTTAGGGTGGTTTAGGGTGGCTTAGGGTGGTTTAGGGTGGTTTGGGGGATAGGGGGTTTGGGGTGGTTTAGGGTGGTTTAGGGTGGGTTTAGAGTTTAGGGTTTAGGTTTAGGGTTGAGGGTTTAGGGTGGTTTTAGGGTTGAGGGTTTAGGGTTTGGGGATCTTCAGTCTGCAGTTGGGGTTTCGGGGATTTAAAAAAGCTTGAGGGATAGGACGGATAGGAGTCGCCTTTGAGCGTGTAGAACTTGGCGGGGTCTTGCTAGAACATATATTTTGGACAGGGTGCTGCTACCCCCCGAACACCTCCGAAGGCGTCCTCGAAACTCCACATAGACCCCGGCCCTTTTGCAACTGCGACTCCGCTCAATACTGTTGTATAAATCCTGCATTACCTTAAGGACCCTAAACTAGTCTATATTCCTAGCCTTCTTTTGGCATTTATGGGGTTTATATCATCAACCGTAGGGCTCTGCAACCAAACCCGGTTCTTCAAGACCTGGTCCAGCTCCACCTCCTCCGCCCGAGTTATCACGTCCCCTGATGCACCCAGAGAACCCAATACCCCTAGGGTTTAGGGTTTAGGGATACCCAGAGAACGCAATACACCTTAACTAAGGAATGTATTTCTTAAACTATAGGGGCCTTAATAGTATGACTTAAAGCATGTAATTATTCCTTATTTAAGGAATACACCTTCAATTATAGGGGCCTTCATGGTATGACTTAAGGTATCTATTCCTTACTTAACGGGTAGGTTGGGTTCTCTGGGGATACAGGTCTCGGCGCCGCACGGGCTGATCCACAAGCTTCCTGGTTTAGGGTTTAGGGTTCAGGGTTTAGGGTTTGCCCTCGTTTTCCCTCGGGCTTATTTCGGGGTGTGGGGTTTAGGGTTTAGGGTTTAGCACTCCTCTAGACTTCACAGGGCATAAAGCATTTCAACCCCTTCGGTTGAAGGAACTCCCCAGAGAACCCAATACACCTTAAGTATTAAATTATAGGGGGCCTTGATATTATGATTCAGGGTATATTACTTAATTAAGGGGTATTGGGTTCTCTGGGTCAAGGCCCTTTTGGCTTTTGGGATTGAAAGGCTTAGGCTGCAGAGCTACCTGGTGTCTACGGGCCACACAGGGTTTAGGGTTAAGGGCTTTCTAAATTCGAAGTCTCTCGGGTCAGAGGTTCACGGGTGAAGGGCGAACGCACACATATGGCAGTTTGGGGCCTCATGGTGAGTTGAAAGGGTCCGACAGACCGCTCGGAGAGGCCATGGACCCAGCCCGGAACCCGCGAAAAAAACAAGCGGAGAAAGGAGTTAGGGGTTCAAGGTCTCGGGTGTAGGGGAGAAAGGAACATGCACTCGACCCCAGCGTCGTGGCCTCGGGTGGTGCGATGGCCTCTTCGGGAATCAGCTCACTGGGGTCCAGAGAACTGGGAAGAGAACCTGGCTCGCGACTTAAGTGGCCGGTACTCGAGGCTTTTAATGGGTAGGTATAAGTAGGTAAACCCTAAACCCTAAAACCCAAACCCGAGTTAAAACCCCCAAAGTAAAGGACTTATAACCTCCACTTATGAAACTACCCTAAACCCTAAACCCTTAACCCTAGTTATATAACCCAAACTAAAAGACTTATAAAACTATCCATGAACCTCCAAGTACCCAGGTTGGGAGTCTGGGCCGAAGGCTTGGAATTTGGGTTGCTGCATTTTTGGGGGGCTCAGTTTAGGGTTTTACAGTTTAGGGTTTAGGGTTTAGGGTTGAGGGTTGAGGGTTTCGGGTTTCGGGTTTACAGTTTAGGGTTTACAGGTTACAGTTTAGGGTGTAGGGTCTCTTGAACTCGGAGGGTTTTGCACCTGCGGGTGCGGGGCCTTGGGGTACAGGACGTTAAAACAAAGGTATGTTGATAGTTAGCCTCTTCATGGAGGAGACACCGCAGAAACACACTGGTCTCCACACTCACCAAAACCATAAGGGTAGTTTTCTAAATGAGGGGTCCTGTTTAGATCCCCAATATAGAACGGCACCCTTATGAAAAGGACCCTAAACTGGACCCTACTCTTGAGAACTAGCCAAAATATGCCAAGACGTGGAGATTCATGGCGCACGTCGTAGCAAGCCAGCCATGCTTCGAGGATCAAAACGAAAAGAACGAGGACAACCATAAGTCATGCTCGTGGTTCATTAGACCAATGATTCGATGATAGCAAGAATCATAACCATGACGGCAGAAATCAGCATAGTCGCAGTCATGGCACGATAGCAATGTCGATAATGGAATGCTTCTCCCAATCCTGACTCAACAGATGCGAGTTTCGAAGCCCTAGCACAAACCCCAAACAGGGCGAAAAAAACAAAAACAAGTGTGCATATATATATATACAGAGAGAGGGATATATATATATGTGGAGGGGTCCTTTACGTATAATGTGACC